GCATTCAAGGACTGACCGAAACGAAAGAGGTATGCCTCCACTACTATCTGCTCACAATTTTTGTGTTTCTCCTTCAGAGATAGTCTACACCCTGGAGAAGCTCGGCCCAAAGGTGAAATGGCCACAAAAGATGAAGTCCGACCCAAATACCAGAAAGTCGAATGCCCTCTGCGAATTCCACCAGGAAAGAGGTCACAAGACCAAAGACTGCATCGCCTTAAGGCAAGAGGTAGTGAACATGCTCCACCAAGGGCATTTGAGAGAACTGATGAGCGACCAAGGAAGGGCGAACTTTGCTCGAGGACAAAAACAGCATCAAGGCCCCTCGAAGCCACCCTCCCCAGCTCGGACCATCCAAATTATCGTCGGTGGAGGCGACGATATGGAAATCAACAACGTAAAGTTCACAACCACCCATAAGTTGAAGTGATTAATCACCCATGAACGGTATGCTGACCTCGAAGAAAGTATCATCTTCGACGAGTCGGATACCCACGGTTTGACCTTCCCTCACTGTGATGCTCTTGTTATTACTTTGCACATTTCAGATACCAATGTAAAACAAATTATGGTAAACGACGGAAGCGGCGCGTGCATTATCCACCCTCTAGTTCTCACACAAATGAGGCTCGAAAATAGAATAGTGCCACGCTGCATCACACTAACAGGTTTTAATAATGTAGTTGAGCGGACTTTCGGTGGTATCACTCTAGAAACTACGTTCCACATTATGGATCAAGATACGGCGTACAACACTATCATAGGACGGCCTTGGATACACGCCATGAGGGCCATCCCATCCAGCTTATATTAGGCCATCAAGTTTCCACCCCATGGGGAGTATTCAGCATCCACGACGAACAGAACATGGCCCAAGAATGCTACCACATCGCCCAAGACTGCACATACACTCAACAGTTAGAGGGCAAAGACACAGAAGCATAGCAATTACCGAGGTTGAGGCCTGACGGTGACGAAGGGAAAGATGCCATCAAGGACCCCGAAGTCGTGGAGGCTACGGGATCAACCGTGGAAGACCTCTACCTCGTAACTTGGAAATTGTTAAAGTGTGGCGTGGTCGTGGTCGGTCAGTAACCTCATGCGTCAAGTAGCTCGACAACTGGTCGTGGTCGAGGTCAGGCAGTAGACTCAAAAATACCAATTAGTTTATATTGGAGTCCACAAGAGGGAATAGTCCAGTGAATATTCTCTCTATTTGTACTTTAGAGTTCCTATGGAATATCCCATATAAATAGAAAGAAAGAGGGAGAAAAGGGGAGATTCGATATGATTAGAACACTTGTAAAAGGATAAGCTCTCAGATATAATACAAAGAATTACTTTTTATTAAGATTGATCCTATTGGTGAACTATTTTATTGTCTTTTCCATCAGATCCAAGAAGGTGCATAATCTTCTATCTCACTCATGTTATTCATCCTTGTCAGGGGAAGGAATCCCTCACCCTCTTCAATATTGGGCGACTCTTGCTCTCTATTTATATTTACTGCCCTTAATGTTATTTATTGCTTGCTCTTTCTACATAGCATAACACTTGGTTATATTTATTACCCACATCTCATTTTGAATACACTATTATCCATATCATCCGTTGTAGATATAGAATTATTAGCTTTAATTAGGATTGTCCCACCTTGATAAATCATTAATTAGTTTAACTAACGATTAACTCATTTTTGGTCAAACAAATGCGTCACTACCTCATCTGGTATCTCATGGCTCTCAATAGCAGAATTATTCAAGACGTTAAGTGTGTTGAAAACTAAGCTCACATAGAATTATCCTCAACATTACATTGTAAGTGAAACTGTATAGACGTATATCGACATCCTCACCATATAGCACCCCGTCCTTCGAGTTTATATAACGACAGTCATATCGATGAATATCCGTGAGGCCAACAACTATTTTTCTAAATCTCTTTGTATAATTGTCTTCAAAATAAATATATGTGCCAAGTCTTGGATGCACTTTTCACATATCGTCGTCATTGTCTTTGAAAATCTTTGAATTGTTGCACAAGCTCTCATCGATTTATATTTGTTCGTCAAATTTTGTGTTTGAGAAAAGCTACATGTTGTATAATAGTCTATATGTTTCATATTATTTTATATGTCTACTAAGGCCGACTTGAAAAAGATATAGTAAAGAGTTAAAACCAGACTTTAATAAGTTTTTTTGAACTTATTATGTATGTTTTCGTCTGAATGTGTAGTGGTTTAGCCATTTTTCGTGCATTTTTACCATTCACAAAGACACATGTAATATTTTAAAAAATATTCAAGGATAATTTAATATTTAATTTTTTTAAATTCTATCGCCTAGTAATATCAATCTTCTTACCACTAAATGTCAAAAATAATTCACTATATCTCGAATAGTTCAAATTTATTTTGAAGCAAAACCATAGCTTCGTACATTTATTTTTAACTGTCATGTCTAGTAATTTAAAAAAAAATAAAAATTGACCACTAACTAAAATATTAATACCTTTCATACATTTAAATAGTTCAAGTCTATTTTAAAGTGAAAAATGTTTTGGTCCACTTGATCCTTCAACTTTTGGGACTTAAACAAATGTTTTAATGACATTTGGCTTGAGAGGCCCTTGCTGTTCACCTTTTAGTAAGAGATTTTTACTATAAGAAACTTTATTACCATCATAAATCACATTCTTAATTCTTTTAAATATCTTTGAAATCCATTTCACACTTCAAGCCTAGGTTAGAACTAGCAAAATACGTAATTCAAGTTATAAAGGCATGTTTCTATTAATTTATTTTCCTGAAAATAAAAAGTGTTTTGCTAGGAGATCTTTACGCAAAGAGCCGTTCATATTCATTGTTTGCTTTTTCTAGTCATATACAAATTCTATACATTGATTATACACATATAATATATAGATTATGTTTATATTATACATTCACTGCCTATTTTCAGTTTAAGCGGCTGGGTGGTGACTATTTGGGTTAATTCTTCAAAATTTTATTGTTGATATGAAAGTAGAATCCTTGTGTGAAGTGTTGGACACAGCCTTGGATATATCTGAAAATAATGAAAATAGTTATTGTTTGCTTTTTCTAGCCATATACATAGTTTATACATTGATTATACATAGTTTATACATTGATTATACATAGTTTATACATTGATTATACATAATTATACATATATAATGCATGAATTATGCTTATATTATACCTCCACTGCCTATTTTCGGTTTAAGCAGTTGGGTGGGCGGTTATTTGGATTAATTCTTCAAAAAATTTAGTTGATAGGAAAGTACCTTATGTTAAGTTATATCTGAAAATAATGAAAAAATAAAAATAGAAAAAGCTAAGCTACCAAGCGTGAGTTCAAATATTAGAAAAGGAGTAAAAAGGAAAATATTTTTGAGAACTACATAAAGTTTTAGACAAAAGGAAGATTGGTTTTATTTTTAAAAATATATGTATGCTAAAATATATGTATGCTGGCTATGGGGTTCGAACCCATGCGCACTTATGTGCAGAAGATCTTAAGTCTTCCCCCTTAACCTCTCGGGCAAACCAGCTGTTCTTCTTTGTTTTGTTGCTAAAATAATTTTAATGTTTATCAGTTAATTTTTTATCTATATTTTGGGATCTTCCTATGTGTATATGTTTGTTTCGTTTGGAGGTTTGTCTTACTAACAGAGAACTACTCTTTTAGATGTTCATTTAACTATAACTACCAATTTGGACATTGACTTGTTGAGTAATTTTAAAAGTTTTTTTTTTTAAATGAGGAAAAGAAGAGAGATAAAACTTCGAACTAAACTATTTCAATAACTCGCTTTTCATTTCTTATTTTTTGGGTTGGTTTATTGCCTTATTAGTGTTTTACCTTATTCTCTGAAATTTTATTTGCACTTGTTTTGATGCACATTACTGATATTTTTCTAAATGGTTTCCTGTATTCTCACGGGTTATTCAAACGCATATTTGGCTTTATTGATCTGATTATTTTATGAATTGCTGACACGTACACCAGCGGTATTATTGGAATATCAACTGATAGTCTTGTTTGGCCAAGTTTTTTTTTTTTTTTGGATAAAGGCGTTTTTTTTGTTGTGCCGAAAGTGTTTTTCAATTAAAGTTAAGATATTTTGGCCAAATTTTTAGAATGAACAAAGTATGTTTGAGTAGAAGCGGAGTTAATTTTTGAGAAAAGGAAAAAATTAGTTTCTTCCTAAAAGTACTTTTGAGAAAGATATACTTAGAAGTATTTTTTTTAAAAGTTTGGTCAAACACTAATGACTGCTCAAAAGTATTTTTCAAATTAATTAGTCAAATACAAATTACTTCTCACCAAAAATACTTTTCAAAATAAATTGCTTCTTCCGTATCAATTTCTCTCAGTACTGACTACTGCCGTTTGGTTTCTTTTCCATTAGGACACATTGAAGGAAAATGCAGGTCAGTTCAGGTCAGTTCACCAATTTCATATTTGCTACTTACCATTTTATACTACATTTTTTTCTATTTTAGTTTGTTCCAAAGAAATGCCTCTCTATCTGTACGGTCTCCATTGTTGTAGCAGTTTGTTCCAAGGAAATACATTTCTAATTTAAGCTTTCCATTTTGGAGTATCACAAATTCAAAACAATATACGTATATTATAACATTTCCAATCAATATATATTGTTAATTTTGTAAAGTACTTTTTGTCCAAATAAAATTTGTTTCCAAGAACTCCAATTTTTCTTTCTCCCCACAGCCAAAAAAATTAAGTCTACAATTCAATCAGTTTTTCCTATAAAAAAAAATGACCAAAGACCTTTAACTCTCCAAAATAAGCAATTTTTTATATAAATAAGCACTTTTATTCCCCAAGAACGTGGTCAGACAGAAACCACATCCTTAAAGAGAATATGGGATCTGGAAATATCAAATAAAGAAACAGAAAATCACATGCTCTGCAAATGCGGGAACTCGTCAAGCAGCAAAAATGCGAAGCACATAGCAAAATACCAATAGGTAACGACCATTAATTTGAATCGAATCTCAACCAACATAACTGTCAACATCAAAATAAACCTTCACTAGTACCAGTATGCAGCAAAATTGGTCCTAACTCTTGCTTTACATAGGGTAAATCAACAAAGATATACTAAATACTAACACACTCTTCTGATTATCATTCCCTCCAACGTTGATAAAACAAAACTAACATCTCCAGGCAAACGATTCTCCGCCAATTTACTTCCCGGCACTGTGCTTAGCTTTTGAGTGAGATTCTAGAGCAGTTTCAGAACCAAAAGTCCTGCAAGGAGAAATATATGAATCCAGATAACCTAATGCTCCTAAAATAAATAAAACAGCATTGAAGTTACCTGTTGCATGTCTTGCAGGCAAGAGCTCCGCCAGATTTTGGAGTCTGGTTTGACTTGTTTCCAGGAGTCTTACCGGCCTGTTTTGAGGGGTGAGGCGTTGCCACATGGACAGCACCTTTCTTACCATCTAAACCACCCAAAAGAAAATATTCAGGAACAAGATAACTTAATCCCATATTAACTTGAGTAAAGATGCAAAAAATAAGCCACTTGCACATTTACTAATATCTTTTTTTTTAAATGTTAGAATCATATTCTCATTCCAACAGAATCAAAGGTTATTCCAGTTACTGGTCCAATTTTCTCATGCAAGTCAAAAGGACAGCAGCAGACAGTCCAACATAGCCAATCCATATCAAAGATTGACATTAAGGTAAGCATTAACCAAAGACAAAAACTAACCAGCCTTTTGAGGTGTTGCAAATTTTGCCTTTTTATCGGGTGCAGGAGTTTTTGTTGCTGAATCTGCAGGTCGCTTTTTGCTAGGCTCAGCCTAAAAAAGAAGATTGACCCAGGTACTGTTAACCCACCTTCCTGCTCAAGAAATTCAGGAAAAAAGAAAAGACCAATAACTACGAGCTACCTTCTTTGGTGTCTCCTCATCAGACTTATCTTCATCACTATCATCTTCATCCTGAACAGAGGATAGTCCATTAAAAATGCTAATGGAAAGAAAGCATAGATCACTAGAAGTGATATCAATGAAGCCACATTTAATTAGCAGGAGTTCAAAAATATGGAAGCTATAGTATGCAGAAGAAAATTTCTTTTGCATTGTGGTTAATGCTTCAGACTGCTGAAGCAACAATTCAGATTATTCGCATAGACCAGAGGATGATCTAAGCTCAAAACAGATGCAGCGTTCTGCCTTTTCAACATGCACCATAACATACAAAAACAATCTGATAATCATTTTGATAGCTGTTTTATTGGCAAAAACAATGGCCTAAATCTGACAATCGCATTTCGGCCCTTTGTTCCTTAAACCAAATATTGGTTGTTATACTACTCGAAAATATGTTTAGCAGCAAACAAAGTAACTAAATCGGTTATTGTTTTCTGAAGACCAAACACAAATAATATTCTTTGGGAAATCAAATCCAATGCAACTATATAAAGCTGACCAAGCTCAAAATCTTAAAAATTAGATCTTGAAAGATCACTCAAATACCAGAGGTTGAATAACCTATTTCAACTGACTGGAAATTGTTCGACAAGCTCAAACAAGTACAAACCATTTTTTTTTGTGCTTACCCTAGAGTCGAAGAACCTTGGATGATAACATGCATTACAACATGTATTAGAAAATCATACCTCCCCCATCTCAGAATCTTCTTCATCCTCAGACGTATCATCTTCATCACTGCTATCATCTTCATCATCCGCCTTTGCATCTTTACTAGGTTCTGCAATCTTCACCTTCTGCTTACCTGAAGTAGAATCGTTTGCACTAGCCTTAGCTTCAGCCTTTCCTGTTTGGCGTGTAGGCAATACTTCAGAACTAAAATGCATGGTACATCCAAGAAATAGCTCAACAAAACATTGTCCTTACCAATGTTGGCAAGAGTAAGGGGTATTTCCTCATCAGACTCTGAACAATAAAATAACAATTAAGTCATGACCTAATCCATTGAAGATTAAATAAGGTTAAACAAAGATGTTAACTTACCATCTTCATCTTCTTCATCGTCCTCCGTGCCACACAGAAATATAGTCAAGGAAACAAAAAGATTTTGACAACTATACCTTCTTTTAATGGAAAGAAAGGAAATTATAAAAAGATAGAGTAGTTAACAGACGATGAAAAGGATATTGCTCGTATGGGTTAGCTGCCTTGTATCCGAAGAAGTAGACACTACCATTTTTCCAGTTGTGTGATAGTTCAAAGTCTCTATCAAAAACCAGGTCAAATTGTTGTTGAGGCAGCTTATCTAAGTTGAGTGTTCCAAGAACAAGTTTCTTTCCATCAACATTCACAGACAAGCATACAGGTTCCGATCCTTTATCCTTTTTTGCTTCACCAAGAGATGCCTACAAAGAGGAATATATTGACAGAATACAAAAATGAGATGCCTACAAGGTACAAGCTATATCAAATGAATTTTCCTATCAAATTCGTGACAACTTAAAATACCTGTGAAAGATGCAAAACCATATCATCTCCAGGTTGAACAGTTAAAGGTTGTCCACTTTTCACCTCAGCACCTAAATGTAAGTAAGTTTAGAAAAGCTGCATTTGCACAATTCCAATACAACGCGGGAAAGAAACACATTATTGATGAAGTATCAGCAGTATAACACAAAGAACAAGAAAGAAAAATGTCTGACAATATAGTTATTACACAAGAGTAGAGGCAGAAAAATACATTCAAATTGAATTAGAAATCCAATAGAGCTTCTGATGTACTGGTTTTTGAGCTATATAATAAATATCAAGACACATTGTCATCTAAGTAAACAATGGAAGGAAATCCAATATAAAGATGAAGAGTAGAGGCTCTTTTGCATCAAACACTTAAGGTTCCAAGAAAGTTCCTGATTCTGAAAGAGCTAAATCAAATACCTTCTAACACCCTCTTATATAGTCAGTATGGGAAATGAACCCAAAGGACAAATTGATGACAGAATTTCTGCCCAATTTGCAACATAAACACACCATATTTCAGGATCATAATGTACAGTCGCAGAGCCATGAATTGCAACAAGGGGATTTTAAAAAATTCACTTTTTGAACTATATTCCCTTATATCAAGGCAATTCAAAAGTTTACATATATACAAAAAAATTGTTTTCTAGCTGTATACAAAAAAAAAAATGTTTTACAAGGGAAGGGCCCACCCTTTAGATGCCAAAGCAGAGTCCACTCTTTATAAAGGCAGCCTTGCACTATAACATAAGCATTTTCAAGCTGCTTATTCTCAGTCTCTACAATGTCGAGCATGCAAAATATATAACCATTAAAAAAAATTACACAGCCCGAGAAGCTATCACAAAACAGTAAATAATCCAAAAAATGCGCAATAAATTAAATTTATCAACATCAAAAGCATAAGAAACAATGGAAAGACGGAAGTAACAGATAGAGAGACTGTGGTGAAACGTATAATCAAATCAATAACATCTAACACAAAGTACAAAACTAAATATAACGAACAGCCATCGAGGAATACAGATTATTAAAAATAACGAAACGATAGACAAAGAAAAAGGCAAATAGATTGAGAGAGTGCTGTACCCCAGAATTCCATTGCTGATTCGAGAAAAGAGGAATATAGACAAAACTCTAGGGTTTTAGAGAGAGTGAGAGAGAAATGGAAGTGTTAGGGTTGGGAAGTGTATAGGTTTATAAGCGGGAGACTCGAATTGGGCAATGATTAGTGTTTGGTATGACAAAATCATTTCCTTATTCCATTTTCTATTTAAAGCAGGAAAATGTGAAAATTACTTTTTTATACACTCGTATAAGTTCTAACTTATATTGATTGATCTAATTAATATTACGACAGTATTATTAATTTTTTATTCAAAATTTGAATCAACATATCATACGGTTTGTTAATAACATCATTAATTTTTAACTTATTTTTTATCCATCAAGTAAACAACATGTGTCATATCAAACACACTCATCGTTTATTGTTTTTTGACTTGACAATACAAATTTCATATATGGTCGTAGATTTATCTATCTTCATATCTATCTATATCTAAATCTATACTATATTAAAAGTACGAAAGCCCTTAACGAAATGTTGTTCGTCTTTTTTACCCTTTTAAAATATAGTTCACATTAGACGAAATAGTCATTAGATTATTTTCCTAATATTTAGGAATAATCATTTAATTATTTTTCTAATATGTAGGAGTATTCATTTAATTATTTCTATAATATTTAGGAGTACTCATTTAATTATTTTCCTAATATTTAGAAGTTTAATTTTTTAATTCTAGAATTCCTGCACTTTTCAATTGAAATTAGGATGTTTCGTCCACTTTTTAAGTGTTTGTTTTCTTAATAAAGTTGTTTGCCTTTAACTCCATATAAAGGAGAAAAATCATTAAAAAAACATAAAAAGAAAAATTGAAAGGAAACATGTGAAAAATCTTGTGTATGTCAATGACGGAATTTTGTTCTTATTTTCAACTTTTGTATCATTCACTTATTTATTTTAGTGTTTGTACAATTCGTATTTCTAGAAAGTTTTTCGACATGTATCTCTTCTTTAGGCCATTTCAGTCATTTCTCATCAGTTATATACGTGCCCTTTGGTGCTCTTCCCAGATATACGTGTGTAAGCACGTGATTTTTGCCCTATATGAGAATTACTCCCAAAAAATTCAAAAATAA